CATTGTGAGTACCCCAGACAGGATGGCGACTTGATCCTGTGCGCTCAGGACAATATGACGCCCGTCAAAAGACCTCGTCCCACAGACTATTTCTTGTGTATCGAAGTGAAAGCCGTGGAGGTACAGTGTCGGTGCTAATATCCATGGAGCGTCGATTTCACGACATAGGATTATGATAGACGAAGTATGTGTCGAGAGTGCGGTCCAAGAAGGCTTAACCTTGGCCTCAATGTTGGGATTTACATTGTCGACGACTGAACCGAGATGAATCAAAGCACGCTTTCGTAGACTGTCGACTTGATATTTGTGACTGAGGCGGAGGACGCCCTCGATTGTCAGGTAGTCCGTCTGCGCGGGGTATGGCTTGAAGAACCTAAAAGTACTATTCCAGCGGAGAAGCAGGTCGGTAGGAAGAATGCTACGTACTCGTGGTTGAACAGGGCCATAAAAAACACCTTCACTTCCCGAGACGGGTCGGGTAGGACGACAACTGGGCACCCGTCTATCATCGCTGCATCGTCGGGCTGCGTGAATGCCAGCATATCGGCAAAAACGGGGGAGCGCGCTGCCAGCATTCTTCCTGAAACCCGGAAGAGGAGATTCTCTGCCCGGACAACGAAGCCGCAATCTTCAAACCAAAGATCTTGGTAGCGCTCGGTGGAGGTCAAATCTGGGGTCGACGGAAGTGCGCCGGTCATGGTGGTAGCAATCAAGTGCTATATATGCGGCCCTATGCGGCCTCGTGTGTTGCTCGTGTGTGCCATTTTCCCAGGATCGAAATTGCTGATCATAAACTTCAATATTGAAGCGAGATCGAGACTCAGGACGCCCAAGCTCTTTTGATTAAACACTTTTTGACTTACAATGTTAATTCAGCTCGTACTCGTATGGATACAATGTTCATGAAATTATATCATCTAGTAGGGAAAACGACCGTCATCCGTTTCTCAACCAACCATTTCTCAGGAAGCACCCTCCGAATATGGCCTCTACTGTAGGCCGACCAGCGGGTTGAGAAAACACGAGATAGACCTTGGCCATTTAAACCAGGATTCAGGTGAGTGCAGTGAGTTAGTTTGCCGTTGACTAATTTCGTGCCATGCTACCAGCATGGAGACGGGATAAAAACAAATACTTAGAGTTGACGATGGCGAAACGCCGTTCGAGTCGCGATCGATAAGGTCTGTCAGTTTCCACTGCCAATTCCAGGCCAGGTTGAAAACGCCATGTGAGGTGCAGAGCCGCATGACGGTCAACCTACAGTCGGGGTGAGGTACTTCAATCAACGTTCTGACTGTAACATGGCATCACTTCCCACCTCAACTCGCGGCTTTCTGGTACTATCCGGTCATCCTAGGAGGCCCCCAAAAAAATTCGAAGAGACACATATCAGGCAATTAACTTAAGATCCAGTGGACGACAATCTTCGCACTCGGCGCGCAGCCCAATCGATCAATCCGAAGTGTAGTCTGCTTGCGGCAAAGGTATGCCGCTGCGCCGCAGCCTAGCCCAGAGTGGCTGCGAGTCTACCTACGGATGATGATGGGGTTTCCAAGTTCAAAACGCCGCGATAAAATCAGCCAAATCCAACCAAGCAAACGCATCCAACTGACGTGGCGCTTTCTTCCACAGGCAATGGATAGATTACCCGTGGAATTGGTCTGGAGAATCCTCCACCGCATGTCCTTAGCGGATATCATGAACACGGCACGCGTAGGCCCTCGAACCAAAGATTTAGATGCACTGAACATTGACCCCGCACAGACATGCAGCTATCTGAGAGCTATCTCCCTTAGCGACCGAGAGATCTGGGCAAATGCTCTCGACTCCGTGGACATACATTTGCCATTAGGCAAGACGCTTGGGTCCGTGGAAGCTGTACAGCTACCGCGCCGTGCCTATCGGGCGATTTCGTTGCAGCGGAAGTGGAAGGAGTCAATCATATGCCCAAGTCGGTCGTCCCGACCAAGGCTCTCTGCCCTGCCTTATTGGACCCGGTGGTGGACCAACTGGACTCCACAGAAGCCTCAATGGTTCCGCCTCTTACCAGGAGGGCAGCTCTTTCTCATCGGCAAATCGTACGCTATGGGTATATATGATCTTCTGGGAAGATTCGGACACGAAATCAATTTGGGTGGCACCCCCATAGGTGTCGACTGGATATGCACAGATAATGGCGCATCGCTAACACTTGGAATACTCCTCACCACGTACGTCGCAAGATTGTCTCGAACTTCCTACCTAACAGCTCAGCAGGACCCTCGCCATATATCATTTGAGGCAGAATCGATCATCCGGACTTATTGTCTCACCTCCGAAACGTATACGGGTTCCGTTAGAGCCGGAGGGCCTTTCCATGAAGCACTCGACCGCCCTGATCTGGGGCCGTCGCTCGCTATTTCTGCATGATCTAAAGACCGGTGTATCTGTGCATCTATCACCGCCACTTGAAAATCCCGTCAGTGCAAACACACTCCCGTCAACTCTGCTCATTGTCTGATCATTTTAGGCACCGAAGATCGGCTGGGCTTCTCTCCACCCTTTTCCGCCTATCAGGGCTGTCATGCTGTCAGTTACAGCTGAAACTCGTACCCAGTTCACTCGCACCCTCTCGGTCGCCGAAAACATGTGGACCCTCCCACTCCTGCCAAAGGAACAGGAGGAGTTTGACGATGAGGGATCAACTCGCCGATTGATTTCGAGGGCCCTCGAGACTGTCCGTGGTTCGTCACCCATTCATCGCCCGCTTCGCCGCTTCCCACTACATTTTTTCCTCGGAGTGGATAGCGACCACATCGAGGTTCTCGATATTCTCACGTACTCGACCACCCCGATGGTGTCCATACCGGCCGCAAAACCACCGATATCCATTAGGGACTACGAATATTTTTGGCCGTGCCCGACGTCCTGTGGCCGGCTCTTTGTGTTCCGGTTGCAGGACGGAATCGTCGATTTGTTCCGATATTCGCCAGGAGAAATGTGTCGTCTGGGATCTTTAGACTCTGTGGTATCGGACTTCGTAAACAGCTCAAATAACCCACCTAGCGTTGTGATGGCATTCGACCCGGTGCAGGGAATCCTGCTGCTGGGGGCACATGGGAGCATCTTGGTTCTACAATATTAATGCTCTCTAGATAGTCACATAGTGTTCTTCGAAAGTCTAGAACATTTAGGCTGTTGGGCCGGGAGTCCCCGAGTGGACGGCCTACTCGGATATCTAGCGTTAAGATTGGGTAGGCTACTGGCACTTCCACTTTTGAGGGCTTCTCTATGTGCTATGCAGCATCTCCGCCGAAAGCTGCACGCAAGGGCTACACGGACACGAGGAAGGTTCAACTTGAAGTGGAGATACATCGGAACTCCCGTTTTACTTTTTCCCTTCGGAACTGAGAAATAGCTTTCCAGCTAACAATATTTAGAATCATTTAGAGTTTCTTCCTCGTGTATATGCTCAACATTTGCCAAAGATTTGTTCAACATCGCTTTGTGTACGCATGCTATGATCGGAAGCTGAAGCCAAGCACTCCGCTCCTTCCTGCTTCGATGTCCGCCATCGGCCCTACTCTTCCTCCCCATCTCCTCAACTCCTCATCCTCGGCCAACGGCGACGACGCCGACGCCGACCCCGCAGCTGCCGGTCCGCAAATTCCGCCAGCCGGCCCACCCCAAAACGAAGATGATGATTCGGACGATGACTACGCGCCGGCATTGCCACCCGACATGGTAGCCTCTTCGTCCAAGAAGCCAGTCGCAGGGCCTACGATGTCACCATCGTACCTGCCGACCTACGATAGCAGGGTGAGGTACCACGATCCGGATGACTCGGACGACGACGTTGGCCCGCGGCCACTACCGGCGGGCGTGGGCTTTGAGGAGCGTGACGCAGTGAAGGAGTTCATGGCGAAGGAGGAGAAGCGGCGGCGGGAGGTGGAGGTACGTGTATAGACATTCTGCGGTGCGACGGAGATTATCAATGGTGATGCTACAGGAAGCTGCCAAGCCCAAAGCGCCGAAGCGCGACGAGTGGATGCTCGTGCCTCCATCGTCCTCCGTGCTCGGAAGTGCGTCACCCCCTCTCCTTATCCCCATCCTCGAATTCACTTTGTTCCATCATGGCAGATCTAGACCCGACGAAGCTCAAACCGCGCCAATTCGCGCGCACCTCCGCGCCGGCGAAGAGCACCGACAACACACTGTGGACGGAGACGCCTGCGGAGCGGCAGCAGCGCCTCGCGGACGAGGTCTCCGGCAAGAAGCGGCGCGCGGCGAACACGGACGCGCCGTCCGCCGCGGAGGAGCTCGAGGCGCGCAAGCGGCAGCGCATCGACGAGGAGCTACGGCGTGGGGTGGAGGAGCACACGCGCAAGACGCGCGGGTCGGCGCTGGTGGATATGCATGCGCGCGCGGGCAAGGACGACGACCAGGACGACGACAAGAAGAAGGAGATTTGGGACCGCGACCGCGATATGGCGCTGAGCGGGCGGCTAATGGAAGATAGTAAGCGGAATAAGATGATCAAGGAGGCCAAGGGGCTTGGGGACCGGTTCGGCACGGGCAAGACGGGCGGGTTTTATTGAGCGGTGGTCTGTACGTTTCTCCCTTTGTATTTCTTACTCTCATCGCCCGGAATCACACCAAAAATCGTCAGAACCAGATGGATTCCGCCAGGAAGTCGTGTGGCACTCCTTCCAGTGTACCGCTCTGCCTTCAAGTTCAAGTTAGAACTATGTAGGAGGATTTACGGTGGGAGAGAACGTACGTACATGATATCACATAACTTCAATGGTACTGCGACCTCTCCTGGCCCTTTAGTTCCGTCCATGGGCCTCAGGCACGCCTAAATGCGCCCATGATTCGGAAGTATGAGCGCTCCCGGTGTGAACTGGCTGGGACTTACTTGCGCGGATCGGGAAACTTTTGAGCCGAGTGATCGAAATTCAAGCTCCGCCTGAATCTATGACTCACTCCGACTTCACTCCGACATTGTAAATCTCCGTCACAGCAGCATGGCGCAGTCTGGAAGCGCGCGGGGCCCATAGTCATGTGTAACCCCGAGGTCACTCGATCGAAACGAGTTGCTGCTATACGACAACGCCGTTTTACCTTTTTTTTTTCCCCTTCCTTTCCTCAAGGTCGGAGCAAACAGACTACATATGTACACCTTTCCACTTTGAAGAAGTGGTAAGTAGCTTTCCTCATCGCGCATTTCACGTGCCAATCTTGTTTTCCCGGACCGGCAACGGACCGGGATAGTTCAACTCCACGATGCACGTGCGCAGATGCTCTTTTCTCCCTTACTTTACTACAAGCTTATGCATTGCGTCACACCTCCCACGTAACCTCCCCGCCCCCCATCCGCGAAGGCAAACAGTCAGTAAAGTTGGTTACCGCGCCCTGATATCCGATAGCCTGCGTTATCCTATCATGATAGTGAGCTTCCAGTTTGGGAATACGTTGGATCATATCTATGACACCCATGGGCCGGCTAGTTCCACCTCGCGCGGTGCAAGCTGGCAAATTGAACTGCAGCTGAAACGAAATGGACGCCATATGGGCCAGTTTCTCACGAGTGGGCGGAACTTGGGACGGGACTTCAGTAGTCCCGGCGTTTGGCCAAAAAAAAAACACATTGGCGAAGAGTTCTTGTGTCAATGCATCAAACTCTGACTCTGTCTTTTCAGGTTAATTTGACTCCGTTCAATTGGGCCAAAACGCGAGCCTCAAGGGTAGGTGCGCGTTATTGTACCTGTAACGAACGATTCACCGTCTTGACGGTAAGCCAAGTACCAGATTTAGATCATGCAGTGCCCGTCCTGTCATTAATATTGACGTCTCCCGTGCCGATTCTTCACGGCTTTGTATGGAAAGCCAGAGCACCACGCTCGTTTGATGGCCGGTGATTGCCCGATACGGCAGTCGGACTGATGACACCGAGCTGTTGCCAGACACCTCTCGTTAAGTATAAGCCTCGTTATATAAGTAACTGCTGATGAGCGTGCTGAGCACGGAAATGATCCGGTGATCGCTGATCGCGCATCACTCCGGCCGCCTTTGATACCAATAGCTTGCACGCTGCCCGCCGCCCGTTTGCCCATCCAAGTCGACACAGCAGCACTGGAATCTCGCTGCATCCGACCCCCTTTATCACATGGTCTTCCAACCACGCTCCTCCGGATTTTCCCGGCCTCAAAACTCTGTTCATTTTATTTTCCTTTCCCTCGTCCTCCTAGCCTCGGGCTTTCCGGCTTTCGGGCTAACTTAAATAAAAATTCCACGGGATTTTTTAGAATCTGATTATTATTTTCATCTCACACCACCACTCACTATAAAATGAAGCTACTTTTCCCGCAATAAAACAGGTTTTCCCCCTCAGAATCTGAATAAGTTCGCAGGAGAGTTAGGAAGCATATTTTTTCATAAAGCATAGATCACAGAGCATAGAGCATACATCTGAGCACGTTTAACTACTCTGTCTCCTCGAATGCGGGAAGTTTGAACCAATTACAGAATTGGTTGCAAATGTGCTGCTTTGGGAATGCCTCAAACGCGGCGGGTATATTGCCTTCACCAAATATTTCAGCTCCATCTCCAATCGAGCTTGATACCAGTGTTAGACGGTTGGATCACAAAGGCCAAAGGACTTACGGGGCAGTCATAATCTGAGGATCCGTCAAAAGCTTAGAGGAACCTCGAATGTGACTTCAGTGATGATTCCCCGGAAAATGAAGTACTTACCTTGAAGATCTGAGAGGTATACCATACCCTTCGTTTTGTAGTACTGGACATGCTGTGTAAATGAGAGAAAGGTGGCCAACAAGGAGAGCGAGCTGTCGGCAGTTGGGAGTTTGATGGGGACGGCGCTGGCATTGTTGATGAACTTGTAGAAACCGTCTTTCTCCTCGTCAATGTACTCTTCAATGAGATATGAACGGCAAATGCTCGATTTGTTGTTGGCTGGAGGTCCAGATGCAGCCTGATGGACGGCCGCCACACCAGCATGGATGAAGCGGACCTGTGGGATTTCAAATGGGGGGGTATGAGGGGAGTTTTCGATGTAATTTTCGATGAATGCATATGTTAGAGCCATGAGGGAGCCGGCCCAGAGCAAAACATTGGCCTCCATGAGCGTCTTGCGAAATTCATCGGCAGGCATGAGGCGGGTGATCATCCAACCGGCGGGGTTGGCGCCGGTCGGCTTAGCACGGGGCACATACATTCTTTTAATAGCGACGGCCTCATTGAGCTTCTGACCGAGACCTTCTGTCGCAAGATGAACGAGGGAGAGGAAAACCGGGCTGCGCAGTTTTGAATGTGCCAATTCCGAGGTATTTACCATCCTCAACTCCGAGGGAACCATGGTCATCTTCAGCTGGATCGCAGGTAAAACCCTGGAACTTGCCAGACAGGAGCTCCCCCAGTGGGGGATACGGGATTTGGAAGAACTCGACCTGTTCAGACACAATGTGTGCTGAAAATTATCAGCAAGATCATATAATTCCGAATAATTGAATACTACCTTGCTCCAAAACCTGCGAGTAAGAGGATCCACCTGCAAGCAAGGCCTCACACAATTTTTCACGATTCGGAGACTCGTAAACAGGGACTGCACGCCGTTTTGACTGTGGTGGGGTACGGGGGACAGACTCAGAATCCTAAAGTGTGAAGAGTGTCAATCAGATTAATTTTGTTGCATTGAAAATTAAATATACACTGCGTCGGCGCTTAGAGACCGAACTGTCGGACATGGACTGGTTGAGGTATCCGGTGTTACTTTGAGAACTGTGGAAGCTAGCGGTCCTCAGACTATACTCCGAAGGACCCGGAGAAGCGGGAGGAGAGTCGCTTCCCGAAGGCGAGGCGGACCGAATGCGCCGAATGCGAGTAGCAGTGGCCTTTTTTCCATGGCGAGAGGAATGCAAGCTCTATGGTTATTGTTAGAAATCGTGAAGGAGAGCTCGAAAGTTTTACCATCTCCGCGTTGAGCTGAATACACATCAGTCAAAATCTAGCGCAAAAGAGAAATCATACCTCTGTTTGGGCCACAAACTCCGTGATTTCCTCCCACAAGTCGGGATCGATGACAAGGGCAAGTTCAAATGCCTTGGTCGGTTTTTTGAAGGTGTTTACCCCATCCTTCCCCTTGGGCTTCCCAGTGAGGCACCGCCCATAGAAATATGGCATATGCTGGTTCTCCTGCGCAAGATCAACCCAGTTCGAAATCTCACGCAGTACAACAGACTCCCATTTGATCGGATAATTCTTGAGTGCCAGCCGAGTCTTGGAATCCATTGTGTCAATGGCCATTGTCCGCAGTGCAGCTGGAGTGGATGTAGCTAGAACATTTGGCTTGCCTTCTGACAAATTCTGGGCGGCAGAGTTAATGAACCGGTTGCCACGTTCAAATATTAATGATGAGGGCTCACGTGAACTTGTACGCCGTTTGGCTTTCCGCTGATCTCACGAAGCACTTTGAACCGTAAAGTTATCGTATCAGCGAGGCTGCTCTGATATGCCCTTGCTGCCCAGTCGCGCCGGGTCACACCATATTGTGCATGGGAACCCGAATATCCGTACATGCCATTTGGTGCCGGGGTGTTTGAATACTGCAGTTGGCTTGGATTCTGCCCGGCAGGTGGAATTGGCGGGTAAATATAACCCGGTGGGTAGACATTCCATGAACTAGGAACCTCAACACGAGGTTGGAGACCGGGTATAGGTGGAGGTAACATCAGCCCTAGGGAAATCGCGTTGATGAAGCATTAATAAAGACTGTTGTTGTACCATTGGAAGGCCCGGACATGTCTACAAGTCCAGAAACTGCAGTGACTCGACGCACAGAAGGATTTGCACCTGGAGACACAGTCGGATTAAACATTGTGATTAAGCACTAATGTCAAATACCTTTGCGGCGTGCCTCATTCACGCTCCTCCTCACATCCTGGACCTCACCACGCTCGAATTCTTTCCCTGGTGCTCCTCAGCAAAGAATCAGGTTAATAAAATGAACCACTTACGAGACATTGTAGCCGGCTGAGCACGGTAGTAGTCAATACACTTGGTGCAAACGTGTTTCCCGTTCTGAGAATTGTAGCCACCAATGTAATGGCGTGGTTCTCCAGCGGCAATCGGTGCTTTACATTTTTCCCGCTCGCAAACAGTCGCTTTAGTAGATGGTACATCCTCAGTGAACTGAGTAACCAATCCACTGTCGAGTCGACGGTCCATTGAGTATCAGAGAGAAAGAGAGATGGAAGCAGGCAGGAATTGAACGACAATGGTATATTGCAAAAATCAGTAGATTTAAATACCCAGTCTTACACCTGCCATGGCTGTGATTCTCATCAACAGACTGCGTCGGTTTCAGCACAGGAAACAGCAACCAAGGATTTCTCCCACACGGAAAAATCTCGCCCGTGCCTCTGCAGTGAGAGGCAATACAGGTTAAACAGCCTGGGCTGTGTTCGGAACCAAGTGGCCCGAATGACTGCGCCGCTACAGAAGAGATGAGACAGTCGTAACCCGTAATTTGCGTACTTAAACCTGTGCATCCGCAGCGAGAGGCTGTTCCACTGCATCTTACTCTCTGCGGATAATGTAATCCATTAATCATGTTGAGAAACTTGCGGTATAAAGAGGCTTCATTTCTATCTTCCAGTATCCACCCGGCAGCTCATCTTCCATGGCGCGAAACAATCAACATAAGCCACTTCGTAAGTAATTTCGTTCAGATTAAGGCTTTAAAACAGCTGATCATGAACGCACTGTAGCACCCTTGAGCCTTATTGGATCCCATATCATGCGATATTGGAAAATGCAGAAAAATGACAAGCAGATCTTGGAGCTGTTGAGGACCAGGCATCTCAACGGCACTAGATATGGCATCGGGTTTGTGTCGACTATCTTCGTGCAGACTATATCGCTGATGGGGGGAAAGACTTACTCGCTTTCGCGAAATTCGTGAAGGGATGGGTCTTTTTAGGTCTAGGAAGCAGGACCATAATATAGAGACAATACGGGAGGCGATGCTTCGATTACGGGTGCAATATCCTAAAGCGGGCCAGCGAGAGATCAGTGGCCTCCTCTT